CATCCATTCACCCTAATTTCAATGTCGTGTCGACCAACACTCTTTGGTTTGTAACATACTCGATAATGACCATCTTTGCAATCTACGACTTGTACCTCCTCATTTCCGGTTTGAGAGCTAACAGTGACAGTCACTTGCTCCCGCTCGTCATAGAACAGTCGTTCTCTTGAATCTCGCGTAATTATTGTGAAGTTAGCTTCGGCGCCCTGTTCCGCTTCTACCAAACCTTTTCCTCTGGTCGTTGATTGTGAATGATCAGTGTTGCCCTGAACAACTCTACCATGAGCTGATTGCCCACATCTCGGGCAAAAACAGGCTTGACACTTATGGCAATAGAGGTCAAGTGGTTTGTTCACGTGAAAGCTCTCTTTGCAAGTGGAAACACCGCATGAGATCTGATTACGTGGCTGGTGTGATTGACCTTAAAAGAAAAAAATTAAATTTTTTTTTAAGAACTGACTAAGGTGGGGTGAGAGTGAGCTTTTGTTTCTGAGTATGAATTTATTTACATTTGAGAATCTGCCTAACTTGTCACTTCACTGTTTATGTGTGGCACACTGATTAGTTTTCCTTCAATGGTGAAGCGTTTGAACCCAAAAGCTTACTCAAACTTTAAGAGGCCTAAAAGCAACCATGCACATCACTATCATAGGTCTGGAGCACATCACTATTTAGGGGAGCAAGGATAGCGCAATGGTGAGAGCACACGCCTCCCACCGCTGTGGCCCTGGTTCCATTCCCGGACCTGGCATCACAGGTGGGTTAAGTTTGTGGTTGGTTCGCGTCCTTGTTTCGAGGGTTTTTCTCCGGGTCCTCCGTGCTTCCTCCCTCCGCAAAACCGACATTCCAAATTTCAATTCGATCTGGAAACAGTGGACAAGAAGAGCCACCTAGTGGAATGTCCATTGCTAAATTATTTACTATTTATTTATATATTTATATTTATACTATCAGTCGAACAATCTTACCCTGATCGATCGCTTCTTCTGGAGCTGTCAGGGTATCAAGTCTCTTCTTAATTTCATTCAGTTGATCTTTAATGTTGTCCTCGTCCTTTTTCCACTCACCCAGTAGTTTCGTGTAGTGATCTTCAACTTTAGGGTCCATGCATTCGTTTCTAAGATTATCGATAGCAGCCTCATACGTGATGCCTCCTAGTCTGACCAGAGTGTCCCGGATGTCACGCCAATAGTCATTGAACTTGATATCATCAACAGAAGCTTTCTCAGCGTGACTGTACACAGTGTTCCTAAAATACTTAACGCGGGCAATGTCCGCTTCCTTGCTGAGGTCTGTTACGGCGGGCAATGCGTCCCATCCGGTAAGCGGAGCAGTTAAGCCGGACAGGTTCCGTAACACAACCATCAGCAAAGTTGTGTCAAAGTCACGTGAAGACACTGAAGTAGGGATGACAGGGAAAAGTTTTCCCCATTGTATTGGATTGATAATCTTTTTATTTCTAAGAGATTGTAAGGTGGGTTTGTTTGCTGCCAAAACTGTGGGCAGATTAGCTGGTGCATGGATGGCATCTAACGTGTCTCGAAGAGCCTGGGTTCCAATGTCAACCAGGAGACGGCACAACCTGGCATAGTTTGTTGTCTCTTTAGTGGATGAAGCAGTCGATGCAACACTGGCCATGAGTGAGTCCTGTCTTAAAATCAATATTCATAACACTGTTATGGGAAGTCATTTCATTCCTTAGCACAGTTCCACTAAAATACAACTCTAAAAGTAGGTGGAAACTAAAAGCAATTCAAGAGATCTAAATTTCATTTCCTCTGGCTAATTTTTCATGAGAGGAAATGCTTCCCCCTACATGGCTTACGCTTATCC